TTCATGCAGTCCGAGCCATTGAAAAGGCAACAGGGAAGATTGTTCTGTCGTCAGCCACGAGGTGGACTGGCTGGATTGAGATCAATTGCTGGGAATTTTGGCTGGTGCGTATGGGTTGGGAGATGCACCACTTCACTGGCGAAGATCACTGCTTAAAGTTCTTGTTCAACTTGGATATTAACAGTCAAGCATGGATCCATGTACGTTTAGGCTCTTCAGCGAAGGCAAGCTTCGAGGCATCATTGTGGTGGAGGTTGACGATTTGTTGACCATGGGAGATGAACTGCATTTTCAGAAGATGGAGGAACTTCAGAAAAGGTTCAAGTTTGGCAAGTTCAAATTTTTGGATGAAGAGCAGAAAGGCGTGTCGTTCAACGGCAGGAGGCTGAGGATGCTTGAAGATGGAACGTATCTAGTGGATATGCAAAAGTTTGTTGAAGAAAGGTTGAGAGAGGTTAGTTTGGCAGTAGGAAGGGCCAGTCAAAAGGATGAGGATGCAACAGATGCAGAAAAGACAGAAGCAAGAGCAGTGGTCGGGGCTTTGACATGGGCCGCAAAAGAAGGTCGTCCCGATTGTGCTGCAGCAGCAAGCATTATAGCAGGAACATTGAATCGAATGAAGGTTCAAGACATCTTGGATCTCAACAAGGCTGTAAGAGAGGCAAAGAAAAGTTCCAATATGAGTCGGAGAATTCAGCCAGTCGCTCCAGATCAGATCATCTGGGAGTAGTCACCGATGCGTCATACGCGAATGCGAGTGGAGGAGCTTCACAAGGTGCTTTTGGAGTGATATGTGTTGAAGAGTCGGTTCTGACTCGAGGAAGTGGAGCGGTCAATTTGCTTCACTGGAGGTCAGGAAAAATGTATCGAGTGGTGAACTCAACGCTGGCCGCAGAGAGTCAAAACCTGTCCAAAGGGTTGAGTGAGCTGGCATGGAGTGTCACGGTGTATAAGGACCTGATCACTGAAGGTTTTGACCTAAAAGAATGGCAAAGAGCTCTCAAAGATCAGCGCGTGATGACTTTGGCAAAAGATGACATGGATGAGACGCTGAAGCAAAGTCCATGCGTGGTGGACGCAAAGAGTCTGTGGAGTTTCGGGGGTAGTAGGAGTAGTAAGAGTAGTGAGAGAGCTGCAGGAGCAGCGGAAGCAGGAAGCAGTGGGAGTAGTAGGGTACTACTGGTGGTACCAGGTGAGAAAATCAAAGAAAGTAAAGGACCGGATAACCCCACAAGTCAACTTTTTTCCGATAATCAGAAAAAGTGGTTGAAGCGGCACGGAAAAAGAAGAAAGGACAAAGGAGATGGTGGAGGGCCAATCATTTTAAAAATTGTATGTGAAAAGTGAAGAGTTGTGTGTGGTAAAGTTGTGTGTGAAGGAGTTGTGTGCGAAAGGTTGTGAGTGAAAGATTGTGAGTGAAAGAGTTGTGTGTGAAAGATGGTCTGTGACAAAGTTGTGTGTGAAAGAGTTGTGTGTGACAAAGATTGTGTGTGGCAAAGTTGTGTGTGACACAGTTGTGTGTGACAAAGTTGTTGGTGACATAGTTGTTTGTGACAAAGTTGTGGGTGACAAAGTTGTGTGTGAGAGAGATGTGTGTGAAAAAGTTGTGCGCAAAACGAAAGTTCTCGCCAAGTGCCACGCCTGCCACGCGAAACGGAAGCTCATGTGAGCAAGTGCCACGTCTGCTATGCGAGTCGATGTCGCCAAGTGCCACGCCTGGCACGCAAAACGAAAGTTGTCGCTAAGTGCTACGCCTGCCACGCGAAACGGAAATTCATGTGAGCAAGTCTCACGCCTGCCACGCGGAGCGAAAATCTATGTCGCCAAGTGCAACGCCTGCCACGCCAAACGCAGGTGGATGTCGCCAAGTGCCACGCTTGCGACGCAAATGGAACGTCAATGTCACCAAGTGCATCCAAGTGCTACGTCTGCCACGCAAAGTGGCGCGGCGCCCCGGGCGACCAACAGCGACCAAGCGTGCCACCAGAGCCAGCCAAGTGCAACAAGTGCCACGCCTGCCTCGCTAAACGAGGGTCGATGTCGCCAAGTGCTACGCCTGCCACGCGAAACGCAGGTAGATGTCGCCAGAGCCAGCCCAGTGCCATAAGTGCCACGTTGGCCACGCGAAACAAAGGTCGATGTCGCGAAGTGCCAGGCCTGGCATGCGTTGTGAAAGTCCATGCCGCCAAGTGCCACGCAGAGAGTGTGTGCCAAAGTTGTGTGTGAAAGATGGTGTGTGAAAGAGAGTGTGTGAGAAAGAGAGTGTGTGACAAAGTTGTGTGTGAAAGAGAGTGTGTGACAAAGTTGTGTGTGAAAAAGTTGTGTGTGAAAGATGGTGTGTGAAAGATGGTGTGAGAGAGAGAGAGAGTGTGTGACAAAGTTGTGTGTGAAAAAGTTGTGTGTGAAAGATGGTGTGTGAAAGATGGTGTGAGAGAGAGAGTGTGTGACAAAGTTGTGTGTGACAAAGTTGTGTGTGAAAGAGAGTGTGACAAAGTTTTGTGTGAAAGATGGGGTGTGAAAGAGAGTGTGTGACAAAGTTGTGTGTGAAAGATGGGGTGTGAAAGAAAGTGTGTGACAAAGTTGTGTGTGAAAGATGGTGTGTGACAAAGTTGTGGTGACAAAGAGGGAGCGGAGGAGGAGGAGGCGGAGGCGGGACGGAGGCGGGACGGGTGCAGAATCAAAAACAAAAACCCCACACAAAGATGTGGGGAAAAAACAAAAAAATTGAACGAGACTGCTTGATGATTTGTGATTTTAGTGGAGCATTAGGAACCAGGCAAATTCATTAAAAGTCCCCTGCTTGTGAAACATAATGCCGCGAGTTCGCGCGAACCCACATCCACACTACGATTGTCCAGGCCAGTGTGAATTTGGATGCACCAGATGTTCCCAATAAAACGGAATTAAACCGTTGGGGTTTGGGAAGCGCCACGGTGAGATGCCACAGCCTTTAAAATGAAGCACTGGGAGGGGGTTGGGTTGCCCATGCTTTCAAAATCTTTCAAATGCCTTGACATGTTTTGGGTCATGGGCACCGTTCTATATAATCTTTTTGTACGTTTTTTTTGGTGCGTAGGTGGAAACAAGGAAGTGGAAAACAAGGGTGGCCCTCCATAGAATGGCGCTGCTCAGGTTGGACGTAAGGGTGGCCCTCTATAGAATGGAACTACCCAGGTGGGAAACAAAGGTGGCCTTAATAGAATGGCACCGCCTGATGGGAAGCAAAGGTGGCTCTATAGAAAAGCGGTGCTAAGGATCCTGTTGGAAACAATCTTGTCAGAATGCCTTAGCCGAAGGAAATTTAGAAGTCAAACTTCCGACAATATGGACAGATGAAAAGCAGAGATGGGAAGAGTAAGAGAAGAGAAGAGAAGAAGAAAGAGGATCAAAGAAGAGACCATCAGAAGAAAGAAGATCCAGGTGCGTGAAAAAGTAAGAGTCGCGAAACGCTGTGTTTTTCCAATGGTTCGTGGCTCCGGAGGGTCGAACAGTATTGCTACTGCTGCTGCTGTTGCTGCTACTACTGCTGCTGCTACTACTGCTGCTACTACTACTGCTGCTGCTACTGCTGCTACTACTACGATGTTATATTTTTATTCATGTTTTGATTGCAGCACGTTGTTTTGGTTCCGGTGGTACCAGCACGAGGCCACAATACTGCCCGGGCGAGGTTAGGTTCTTCAGTCAGTTTCTGATTTGTGACCACCTAAGATCATAAATCCAAGCTAAAGCAAGGCGCGCCCATCATAGCGAACGAGGGAAACCTGGCGCACCACATTGTAGAAAATACGAAAAAAAAAAGGGGAACTCTAAACTCAGGAGTGGCACCAAATTAGAGCAGGTCTGATTCTGCGGCGTGCCTATGTGTGCAACGCCTAAATTGAAATGTCGGAGCGTTTCCCGGAAACCTCAACCGCACTCTCCCAGCTGCCTGTTTCAAGAGGTTTTCTCATGACAAGTTTGGCTTAAGCGACAAAAACATGGAAAGGACTTGTTTGAAGCAAGTGTTTAATTATTGGGATCATCTGTGTCCAGCACTGTGAATTTCCTGGAACTGCCCTTGCATGTTTGTGTGACACACCACCAACATGTAGCAGTGGAGTTGTTGTCGGCGTCTACAACACATCAGACTGCAATTGAATTGTGGGGAATCATACGTGTCATTTTTGTTTTTTTTTGTTTGGGCCATGGATCCGCTTTGTGGAACGCCATGTGGTTCAGCCAGTGTGCAACCCCATGTTGAAGTTGCTGAAATCAAGTCCAACTCTCAATTTTCAGAGCCTTGAATCAGTTTGAACCCTTGCTTTCCAATACTCTCCCAGGATGCGAACATCCTTGCCCAAGATGAGAAATCCACTGAGGCCAGAAATGGTAGGTGCTACCATGTTCCGCGCCCATTCTTCTGAAGTGATGCTGGAACAGTTGGACCATGCAATGATGATGTGGGAAGCTCAATCTTACATGATTTCGCTGCATTGATTGACCCAAGTTGCCATAGTTTTTTTCATAACGTGTGTCCCACGGTAGGTGTTCTGTTTCGTTGCTGTGCAGGTCCAGAAGGCCAGAGCAACTGGTGAAGAACCTCAAGATACAGCAATCTGTCCTTGAGGCCTTCCATTCATCCCCTGTCAGATCCTGTCAAAATTTGTGGAAGGTTTTGACAGCTTGACATGGTTTGAAGTCAAACCAACTATAGTTTTTGCAGATTCTATTTTGAACAGTTGTTGTCAGGCAATGTCAGGAACACTTCCATTGAATATGGCAAGCAATCAACGGCAAAAGGGAAGCCTAGAAATGCACCACACCTTACACATTGGTTTGCACCACCTGTCTACGATAATAGATGTAAAAGCGTTGCATGGCGAGGCAACACTGGAAGAACTTGAGAAAGCAATTGTGGACTCACGGCCGGTACCTGAGTGGTCATGGAAATTTATGGAATCATAAAGCCGAGTATCATCGACGATCGTTGTGGCACCGTGTCAGGTCAGCAACTTCCCAGCTGAATATCTCTGTGAACAACGCGCTTCGTGAAACCCAGGCCGGGCTGCCAGGATCAGACCAAACATATCCAAACATATTGCCAGAAAATGGCAGAAATATGATAGAATGCCCAAAACAACCATGGCCAAACACCTCGGTCCAGGAACTGGCTCCTGGCAGTCCAGTGGTGGTCGATCGACAGGTGCCCATGGCAGTGATGGCAGCATCAAAATTCCCGGCGTATCGAGGGCAGAGCAGCATAAGACCAACATGTTTTTGCCTACGGCCCGAAAACCGGCCCAGCGTTTTTACGTTTTTTTGCATTATGATATGGTGGGGGGTGGGGGGTGGGGTGGGGGGGTGTAATAACGTCCTGTGTCCCGTTGCGCACTTCTGTTTTGGATGGGGGGTGGGGTGGGGGGGTGTAAAAACGTTCATTGTCTACGTTATCATCGATTTTCTTCGGAGAACACACTTCATGTTACGTTGCACACGTAATTATGTTTCAATTTGGTGAACGCACTTCATGTTAGGATGCACACGTATGTCTTTAATTTGATGAACACAGCTCATGTTACGTTGCGCACTTCTGTTGTAATGTGTGCCTCTGATTAGTGTGGGCCCCCCCAAACAATTTGAGTATACTCTATAGCTCGCACTTTTTTTTGCCACCCCCCTCAACAATTTTTTGGTTAATCAACTTAAGTAAGGATGTCAATTTACTTTCAATTTATTTCAATTTATTTTTAATTTGCTTTCAATTGGTTTCAATTTACTTTCAATTGATTTCAATTTACTTTCAATTGATTTCAATTTACTTTCAAATTATTTTTAATTTACTTTCAATTGATTACAATTTACTTTCAATTTACTTTCAATTGGTTTCAATTTACTTTCAATTGATTTGAATTTACTTTCAATTGATTTCAATTTACTTTTAATTGATTTCAGAGGTTTTGTTTTTTTTTCACTCCCAAAAGTTGGTGCTCACAATAGAGTACCATCCAAACAATTATATTATTGAGTAACTGAGCCACTCATGAGGTACCCCCTTGAAAAATTGTCTGGGTGCTGTTTTTTAATAAGGGTTCAATAATGCATCTAGTTATTTGGAAACTCTTGCGTTTTAAAGCTTTAACACAAATATTGCTTTCTAAAGTAAAGGGACCAGCTTTACCCAAAGAAAGGTGGAGAAAGGGTTTTGTTTTTTTTTCACTCCCAAAAGTTGGTGCTCACAATAGGGTACCGTCCAAACAATTATAATATTGAGTAACTGAGGCAATCATGTTTTTTTTCAGGCATCTAATTATTTGGAAAATCTTGCATTTTAAAGCTTTAACACAAATAGTGCTTTCTAAAGTAAAGGGACCAGCTTTACCCAAAGAAAGGTGGAGAAAGGGTTTTGTTTTTTTTCATTCCCAAAAGTTGGTGCTCACAATAGAGTGCCAGCCAAACAATTATATTATTGAGTAACTGAGCCACTCATGGGGTACCCCCTTGAAAAATTGTCTGGGTGCTGTTTTTTAATAAGGGTTTAATAATGCATCTAATTATTCGGAAAACCTTGCGTTTTAAAGCTTTAACACAAATATTTTTTTCTAAAGTAAAAGGACCAGCTTTACCCAAAGAAAGGTGGAGAAAGGGTTTTGCTTTTTTTTGCCTCCCAAAAGTTGGCGCCACTCATGAGGTACCCCCTTGAAAAATTGTCTGGGTGCTGTTTTTTAATAAGGGTTTAATAAGGCATCTAATTATTTGGAAAACCTTGCGTTTTAAAGCTTTAACACAAATATTGCTTTCTAAAGTAAAGGGACCGGCTTTACCCAAAGAAAGGTGGAGAAAGGGTTTTTTTTGTTTTTCTTTTCACTTCAAAAAGTTGGTGCTCACAATAGAGTACCGTCCAGACAATTATGTTTTTGAGTAACTGAGCCACTCATGAGGTACCCCCTTGAAAAATTGTCTGGGTGCTGTTTTTTAATTAAATTTTCATAAGGCATCTAATTATTTGGAAAACCTTGCGTTTTAAAGCTTTAACACAAATATTGTTTTCTAAAGTAAAGGGACCAGCTTTACCCAAAGAAAGGTGGAGAAAGGGTTGTGTGTTTTTTTTTCACTCCAAAAAGTTGGTGCTCACAATAGAGTACCATCCACACAATTATATTATTCAGTATCTGGGCCACTCATGAGGTACCCCCTTGAAAAATTGTCTGGGTGCTGTTTTCTAATTAAAATTTAATAAGGCATCTAATTATTTGGAAAACCTTGCATTTTAAAGCTTTAACACAAATATGGCTTTCTAAAGTAAAGGGACCAGCTTTACCCAAAGAAAGGTGGAATATGTTTTTTTTTGATTCCAAAAAGTTGGTGCTCACAATAGAGTACCATCCAAACAATTATACATTGAGTAACTGAGCCAATCATGTTTTTTTCAAGCATCTAATTATTTGGAAAACCTTGCGTTTTAAAGCTTTAACACAAATATTGTTTTCTGAAGTAAATGGACCAGCTTTACCCAAAGAAAGGTGGAGAAAGGGTTTTGTTTGTTTTTCACTCCCAAAAGTTGGTGCTCACAATAGAGTACCATCCAAACAATTATATTATTGAGTAACTGAGCCACTCATGATGTACCCCCCTTGAAACATTGTCTGGGTGCTGTTTTTTTTGAAAAGGTTTTCATAAGGCGTCTAATTATTCGGAAAACCTTCCGTTTTAAAGCTTTAGCGCAAATATTGTTTTCTAAAGTAAAAGGACCAGCTTTACCCAAAGAAAGGTGGAGAAAGGGTTTTGCGTTTTTTTTTGCCTCCCAAAAATTGGTGCCACTCATGAGCTACACCCTTGAAAAATTGTCTGGGTGCTGTTTTTAAATCAGGGATTAATAAGGCAACTAATTATTTGGAAAACCTCGCATTTTAAAGCTTTAACACAAATATTGCTTTCTAAAGTAAAGGGACCGGCTTTACCCAAAGAAAGGTGGAGAAAGGGTTTTGTTTTTTTCATTCCCAAAAGTTGGTGCTCACAATAGGGTACCATCCAAACAATTATAATATTGAGCAACTGAGCCAATCATGAGGTATCCCCTTGAAACATTGTCGGGGTGTTGTTTTTTAACGATTGTTTAATAAGGCATCTAATTATTTGGAAAACCTTGCGTTTTAAAGCTTTAACACAAATATTGTTTCTTAAAGTAAAGGGACCAGCTCTACCCAAAGAAAGGTGGAGAAAGGGTTTTGTTTTTCTTTTCACTTCAAAAAGTTGGTGCTCACAATAGAGTACCGTCCAGACAATTATGCTTTTGAGTACCTGAGCCACTCATGAGGTACCCCCTTGAAAAATTGTCTGGGTGCTGTTTTTTAATTAAATTTTAATAAGGTATCTAATTATTTGGAAAACCTTGCAAATTAAAGCTTTAACACAAATATTGTTTTTTCTAAAGTAAAAGGACCAGCTTTACCCAAAGAAAGGTGGAGAAAGGGTTGTGTGGTTTTTTTTCACTCCAAAAAGTTGGTGCTCACAATAGAGTACCATCCAGACAATTATATTATTGAGTAACTGAGCCACTCATAGGGCAATTAATTAATGAAAAAGGAAGCAATTGAAAAGAAATCTGCCCGCACCGAAGGTGCTGGGGCGTGATCGTCCGGATGGCACTCGTAAAAGGTTACAGGTTTACCTGGGGGGGGGGGCATTTTTCGGCCAAAACCTCCTGTTTTTGATAGGTCGTGACGCTCGCCTTCAAAAAACACTGTAAAAAACAGTACGGAAGACACCTGTTCGTGAACGCGCCCGTCCAAAATCGGCAAGCGAAAAGTGAAAAAACCCCGTGTTTTTCAACTTTTTGACCTCAATTTTTTGGTTTGCAACATCTTTTTTTGCGGTTCCGCAGGTGGCCTGGCCCGGAGGCGGATTTTTGAGTTTTTGGACCCGTTTTCGGACTGATTTTCGTCGTTTTGTGATAGCAGAAACACTGGTTTTTACAGTGTTTTTCTGTTTTCTGCATGCTTGACGGCTAGCTTCAAAACTTCCAAAAACCTCGTAAATTACGCTGTTTTATGTTACGGTGTGAATGAAAACATCGTAAATACCAGTGTTTTTTGACGTTGGTTAAAAAACACTGTAAATTACAGTGTTTTTGGCCACCTGACCCTCAAAAACCATGGTATTTGCAGTGGTTTCTGCTTCTCACCGCGCAAAAACACTGTAAATAACAGCAATTTCGCCGTTTTTTCATGTTTTTCGTTATTTTTTGAACTGCGTTGGTCCGCTATACATGGCTATCAAATTCTTCGCGTTTTTTTTTCTCCGACAATCAGTACTTTCGGATGTTTTTGGTCTCAATGGCCGACATCATTGGCAGTTACGAGCGGTCGCGAAGGTGTGAGAACAACATCGTTCAAACCGTGGCGGCCGCACAGGGGTTCTTGTCGCGGAGCGACGGCAATAGAAGAGAACAATGGCAGTAGAAGAGAACAATGGCTGACATCATTAATAGTGTGGACCGCTCACTCGATATGTACATATATGATCTTTATATATAGCCCAACGATGCGGTGCGGGCGGTTGCCGTCGCGAAGCGACGTGAATATAAAATAAAGGAAACATTGAAAAAACATGAAACAATAAAAATAAAAATAAACATTAAAGAAAAATAGAAAAACATAAAAATAACAATAAAAACATAACATTTAAATTAAAATAAAAATAGATAAAATAAAAATAACATAAATAAAAAAATAAAATCAGCAATAAAGAATTTGGACAAAAAATAAAAATTGAAAAAATCTGGAAGAAATATCACAATAGAGGCTCCCCCCCACAAACAGCATGATACTGAATTAGGAGCAAGAAATTTCTCACAATAGGGTACCATCCTTCTAATCAGAGGCTTACATTACTCCGGTGACCAAACTTCATGCAACGTTGCGCACTTCTGTTGTACTTTGGTGAACACACTTCATGCTACATTGTACACGCATTTTTTTTATTCGGTGAACACGCTTCATGTTACGTTGTACACGTATGTTCCGTTGCACGCGTATGTTTTAATTCGGTGAACCACTCCAGAGGCCAATTAACAAAGACTGTGCGCCGTGTCCAGCGAGGCGGCCCAAAGGTACTTGCCCACACTGGTACAATAGATAGTTGCTGGAAGGCCTGTAAAAAGATGCTGCCAGGTAGCCTGCCTAGCCAAAGTCCAATGTTCATGACATATGTCAAGGCTTGGCAATGGCGATGCGCACGTCGAAATGCTGATGTGTGTGATATTCACTGCAAAGACGGTCCGCAAGTTGATGTGATGGGAAAGAATCGCGTGGCGAAGCGCAAAACAATCCAAAAAACATAATATTTTTTGAGGGTGTTCAACATGCATTTTTGAACTCCCACTGCAATGAAACAAGGATGTGTCATAAATCCCCATGGAAATGAAGCGCCAAAAGACACCACCATGATATAAACATGTGGCAAACAAATGCCAAGTTTTCAACAAGACGAAAATCACAATGAACATGAAATTGAGAAAAACGCTGGGCCGATTTCCTGGCCGTTCGGATGTTTTTGGCATAATTTGGTATATACTTCGTATACTTATTATCCCACGCATATTTATTCACAATTGATTCAGCACTATCTTTATTTGACACCCATCATCAGAGACAGTAGGAAGATCCAACCACCGAGACGCTACTCGTAGAAAGTATAACAATAGGCCCCAAATTTGATTGTTCAACAAAACCCTTTGAAGTTGTTTGCGTTGTGGAATGTTTATAAGAATATTTAGGGTTTGATTGTTCTGTCCACTGGCGCCCAGCATTGATGTTTTGTTGTTGGGGCTGGTACGTGGCCTTGGGTGTTGACTTTGACCTTCCATGAAACCGCCATTATCATAGGTGCATGATAGAAATTGGAAACTATACAAGTCGGCCCCGTGCATTTTTCCGCAGAGGGATGTAAAGGACAGTATATTGATCACCGTCATTTTGCATAACCTCTTCTTCGAAATTCCTCAGGATTTCGCAACCAGGATTCCGCAACTACTTGGTCGGATTCCGCAACTAGTGGTGTGTAATTATTCCGTAACTATTCGCAAGTCATCGCGGTTGCAGCTATGGGAGGATTCTCCAGCTACTTGTGCCCCCCCATAATTAAATCTCGCCCAACTTGCGCGGATTATGAATGCTTGGGTGGGGTTGGGGTGGGTTGGGATGGAGTGAGGTAAAAACGTTCATATTTGCTTGCGCGCGCCGTCCAGCATTTTCGAGAATTCAGTATCGAGTTTTGGAATACACAAAATACAATCTTCAGAGTTCGAAATAAGAGTTTAACAATACAATTTTGAATTTTGAAATACAACCTCCAAAGTTCAAACTGCGAGCTTTATAAAAAACAGCTGGGACACATTCTTTCCCCTTCATGAAGAATTCCCCAAAGACTAAGCGCAGTGGTGTTTTCATGCTTTGGATGGTTTCAATAATCCCCCCCTTTAACCCTGGAATATTTTTTTTGGGGGGGTTAGGACAAGAAATTTTTCAGAAATATTTCACCTGACCAGATGAAATATACCCCCCCACATGTTTTTGGGCTTCCAAAAGAAGTGGGGGGGGGGTCCTGGGGATGCCACATTTGAGCCCAGAGATGGTATGGCGCCTGGCACACCCTTTCATTTTCCAAGTACGTACATACATACATGCATGCATTCAACCAGGCCCTGGAGAGACCATTATAAACCTGATTTTTTTAGCTGAAATATTTCTAGGTTTGGGTCTGGGGGGGACGCGCCACCCTTTTTGAAATATTTCAGTTTTTACCACCCCCTCACCCCCGGCTTAAAGGGGGGGATGTTTCAATATTAAGGTCCTGAAACATGGCCAGCCTCTGGTTCCCAAAACATTGCTTGTTGATTTTCAACCCCTGAGTCTGGGAGAACTGGCTTGAAAACATTTGGACATTGCTGTGTCATTGTTTCCTTCAAATGGCGCAAGTCGCCAGCGTCAGCCATCAGCATTTTAATTTTCAAAGGCCGCAATCATAATGAACCGAAATGAGACGTCGAAAAGAGGCAGAGATGCTGCTCCTATTTTAATTTTAAGGGGAACATTACTATTGCAACTGGGAAGTTTCAAAATACAGCGTTTACGCGACATTATATCATCATTCCATTCTGTTTGCAGAGAGCGGATTTGCAATTCTCGAGACAAGGTGCCGCGCACTTTAACGCACATGGAAACCAGGGAACTTTTGCGTGGCATTCCGCTTGAAGATGGTGCCCTGGAAGAACTAATGTTGGGGATGCACATCGGTGACGTTGTGATGATATTGCATTTTGAGGAAACGGATGGGGAAGGAGAATGTAGCATGATCATTCGACAAGAAACCCCTCATTCATGTCCCAAGCACAGTAATCAATCCAGGATCCAGGGGCTGAGTGGCACCCTTTCATGCTGTGAGGCACGCTGTTGCACAAGATTTTTGCCGATCAGCCTCGCAGAGCTTCCGACATCATATTTCCCACAAAAGATGCTAGTTGGTACGCTTGGTGGCGCTTCTTCACCGAAATTTGCAGGACTGGGCTACGTTTTAAGCACTTGGCACTTGGAAAGGTGTGTAAAGTTGAGCACCTTGCCATCATGATCGGATCCAGGTCCGCTTAGATCAAGGATCATCAGAGGTTAACAAATCCCAACATGGAACGTGACAGTTTTTTGAACAGTAGTGAAATACGCAGAACTGGATTGGAGCATGGAGCTAATTGATACATTCTTGTTGAGTGGAATTTCCTGTCACTGGTTGTTTTGAATGTAGCAATCCACAATCTTCCTCATTTTCGAGTTAGCTCAAAACATGTAGCTGGCTCAATTTCAGAAGGGGTCATGTGTTTGACTTTAATGCTGTGCCGCTGTCTAAGCAGATTTGGCCCAAAACGTGGCTCCTAAATTTCTGGGCTGCAACAGGGGTACCATCTCTATTAAACGAATCATTTGGGGCTGACCCTGGCAATTGAACACATTGGGAAAAAATTGCAGGCTCGCTCAAGTGGAACGAACTACCTCAGCAACACCGCGCTAGCTCAAACACATCGCTCTAGCTCGATGGCATCGAGCTGGCTCATTTTTTTTGAACGCAAAAAACGCAAAAAACAAAAAACTCGAAAAAAATGAGCCAGCTACGTCACGTTGAGCTGGCGAACGAATGTGAAAGCTCAAAAACGAATACATAATATGTATTGGCCGGGATTATGACGGCACACCGAGCTGGCTCAAGGGCATGTAGCTGGCTCAATTTTTTCGTGTTTTTTTTTTTGGTTTTTTGTTTCGTTCAAAAAAATTGAGCTAGTTACGAGGCGCTGAGCCAGCAACGAGGCATTGAGCCAGCTACGTGGCACTGAGCCAGCAGGAATGGTGAATCTGTATTGTACGGGACCGATGGATTTTCCAATGCAGCCTTTGCAGTTCCAACAAATCAAATTATTGATTAATTCTGGCACCATGTGAGATAAAATAGAAGACTGGCAGTCTATACATATGTATTGTCAATCTGAGGCAACACCAGTTTTCTTGAGGGAAACGCGTGCCCTTGAGCTGGAGGGAGAGTGGGAAAAGTAATTTTCGATTGTTTGGGTTTCGGGCAACCACAGAAAGTGGCAGAGAATTATGAGTCCACGATCTGTTGGTGTTTGGGTGCTGATTCTTGGGTCCTTTCTCTACATATTCCCGTTGGTATCCTTTGCCGGTTTCAAAGGGGCCACAATGAAAAAAATTAAAGGACCGGATAACCCCACAAGTCAACTTCTTCCAATAATGAGCTTCAAAGGTTGTAGCGGGGACGGGGAAGGAAGGAAAGACAAAGGTCACCAAAGCAGAATTACGCTGCTCCGATTCTCCGATCGTTTCTTTCCACGTTGGGCCAAAACCACCAGAGCAACAATAGATGATCCTATGACCGCACCTTTGAGTGCAAATGACGAATCTAACTTGACTGACTAGTTGTACTTGTGGTTGAGTCGTATGCGTGCTACAGATGTTGTCCGCAAAAACTTCGCTGACTGGTTGTAATTGTGGTTGTAGTGGTGGTAACACTATCCTCTGCAATGTCTGCTTCGGCGGCCTCTTTCCACGTTGGGCTAAGGTCACCAAAGCAGAATTACACTGCTCCCATCGTTTCTTTCCACGTTGGGCAAAAACGACGGGAGCAACAATAGATGATCCTATGACCGCATCTTTGAATGCAAATGACCAATTCAACTTGACTGAGTTGTAGTTGTGTTGTAGTGGTATGCGTGCTAGAGCTGTTGTCTGCAACTTCTAGTTGGGCCAAAGCGACCAAAACAGAACGACAAGAACGACATAATGAAAGTCTGCATGCAAGAAACAGAATCTGTCATGTCTGCGTTGCACAGCGTTGCTCAAGCGCAGTTGGGCCCTGCCTGCCGTAACGACCACAAGCAAGACCAGCACCTGGCCGCAATTGTGTGTGGAATGCAGCAGGCCGAAAGAAGAAAGTACTTAAACATGCTAGAAAAGCAAGCATGCCGAAACAAACCGACAGAAGAAACATGCCGGAATTTGCGGCCACTTCAGTCGCGCGCAGCGGTCCATTGAACGTCTTGCCGTCCTTCTTGCGGCGGGCGCGCCAACCATTAGCAAGTTTTTCCACCGCCATAGCTGCACGAAACAAATGTAAATGACCAATCTAAGTTGACTGTGACTAGTTAGAATTGTAGTATTTGTGGTGGTAGCACTATCCTCTGCAATGTCTGCTTCGGCGGCCTCTTTCCACGTTGGGCTAAGGTCACCAAACAGAATTACGCTGCTCCGATCGTTTCTTTCCACGTTGGGCAAAAACGACGGGAGCAACAATAGATGATCCTATGACCGCACCTTTGAGTGCAAATGACGAATCTAACTTGACTGACTAGTTGTACTTGTGGTTGAGTCGTATGCGTGCTACAGATGTTGTCCGCAAAAACTTCACTGACTGGTTGTAATTGTGGTTGTAGTGGTGGTAACACTATCCTCTGCAATGTCTGCTTCGGCGGCCTCTTTCCACGTTGGGCTAAGGTCACCAAAGCAGAATTACACTGCTCCGATCGTTTCTTTCCACGTTGGGCAAAAACGACGGGAGCAACAATAGATGATCCTATGACCGCATCTTTGAATGCAAATGACCAATTCAACTTGACTGAGTTGTAGTTGTGTTGTAGTGGTATGCGTGCTAGAGCTGTTGTCTGCAACTTCTAGTTGGGCCAAAGCGACCAAAACAGAACGACAAGAACGACATAATGAAAGTCTGCATGCAAGAAACAGAATCTGTCATGTCTGCGTTGCACAGCGTTGCTCAAGCGCAGTTGGGCCCTGCCTGTCGTAACGACCACAAGCAAGACCAGCACCTGGCCGCAATTGTGTGTGGAATGCAGCAGGCCGAAAGAAGAAAGTACTTAAACATGCTAGAAAAGCAAGCATGCCGAAACAAACCGACAGAAGAAACATGCCGGAATTTGCGGCCACTTCAGTCGCGCGCAGCGGTCCATTGAACGTCTTGCCGTCCTTCTTGCGGCGGGCGCGCCAACCATTAGCAAGTTTTTGCACCGCCATAGCTGCACGAAACAAATGTAAATGACCAATCTAAGTTGACTGTGACTAGTTGGAATTGTAGTATTTGTGGTGGTAGCACTATCCTCTGCAATGTCTGCTTCGGCGGCCTCTTTCCACGTTGGGCTAAGGTCACCAAAGCAGAATTACGCTTCTCCGATCGTTTCTTTCCACGTTTTGCAAAAACGACGGGAGCAACAATAGATGATCCTATGACCACATCTTTGAATGCAAATGACCAATTCAACTTGACTGAGTAGTTGTAGTTGTGTTGTAGTGGTATGCGTGCTAGAGCCGTTGTCTGCAACTTCTAGTTGGGCCAAAGCGGCCAAAACAGAACGACAAGAACGACATGATGAAAGTCTGCATGCAAGAAACAGAATCTATCATGTCTGCGTTGCACAGCGTTGCTCAAGCGCAGTTGGGCCCTGCCTGTCGTAGCGACCACAAGCAAGACCAGCACCTGGCCGCAATTGTGTGTGGAATGCAGCAGGCCGAAAGAAGAAAGGACTTAAACATGCTAGAAAAGCAAGCCGAAACAAGCGTGGCGACGACGAAGGTAGGTAAACATGCCGGCGGCCCTGCCTCCCGTAGCGACCACAAAGCCGAAGACCAGTACCTGGCAGCAAATGCGTATGGAAATGAAACAAGCGGAAAAAACATGCAAAAACAACATGCAAAAACATGTCAGTAAAAACAACATGCCGGAGCGACCAGAAAACATGCCGGAGCAGGACATGCGTAAGCAAGCCAGCAGAACAAACGAAGCGAAGCAGGCAACATGTCGGAAAATAAAACATGCCAGAGCGACCATAAGACATGCCTTATTGTATGTTAAGTTTGTGTGTGTGAAGTTATTGTATGTGAGAGATGGTATGTGACAAAGTTATGTGAGAGATGGTATGACAAAGTTGTGTGTGTGTGTGAGTGTGTGTGTGTGAGTGTGTGTGGGAAAGTATTGTATGTTAAGTTTGTGTGTGTGTGAAGTTATTGTATGTTAAGTTTTTGTGTGTGTGAAGTTATTGTATTGTACGTTAAGTTTGTATGTGAAATTATTGTATGTTAAGTTTGTGTGTGTGTGTGAAATTATTGTATGTTAAGTTTGTGTGTGTGAGGGAGGCGGCGGGAGGAGGAGAAGGATCCCGGGATACAGAATCAAAAACAAGAACCCCACACAAAGTTGTGGGGAAAAATGCAAACTGAAGAAACAATTTTTTGCCAATGCCAGGGCTGTGTAATGCTGATGGGAGCGGATTGGATTCCTGAAATTTGAAAGTAAGGATTATATAATAAATGTTCAATGGGGATGTTGCCAAGAGCTTCCATCAACTTTTGGGGTACGGCTTGACCCAACTCCTCTTTGTGAGACCTATTTTGCGCATTCTTAGAATGACCTCTGTACTTGGATCATGATTCTATCACTGTCACAGATATTTCGGGTTGAAGACATGCCGGTTGGAGTCTGGAGGATCATCGTGGGGCATCAGTGGTTCGAGTTGTTGATCTCGCTGGCCATCATGGTGACTTGAAGAAAAATTGCAAAAATGCAGCGCTTGAAAACACCTCGACATTTGGAATGTGCTGATGTCTTTTATTGTTTTTTTTCATGTCCTGCCCGGCAACTCAGAGAGATGACAGGTGAACTCGGTGATGCTGGGCGTGGAAAGCCAGATGTCACTGACACATGCTAGGGAGGACCTTGCCTGGGCCAGGTGTTTTGCTTGCAAGGAAAATATTTGGTCGGTTGGATGATTTGGCGCTTGTGTTTTTCCGACTCTGATTACTTTGTTCATTTGAGTGCTATTTTAGAGACCTGCTCATTTGGATGATTCATATGATTCTTTTCAGGCGTGTCTCACTATGTCTCAGTGTGCGGAGAGGTTTCACATTGTCCATTTTTGCATACGAGTTTTTCACACCCTGACAGGGCCACAGAGCTTGGGCAAGAAACTGATTGCTCAACTGAGGATTGCCGAGCTTTGCTTTTTGGCGATTTTCACAGTTGCTACCTGCCCGTGTTGAAACATGCACACAGTTGCACACGCTTCACTGCAATGGCATGATGGACATGGATAGAAATGGATAGAAATGGAGGCTTGATTACGAGGCCCAAGGATGTCATTGATGTCATTGATGTCACGGCAAATCCAAAAGTAGTTTGATGTTGTTTGCTGAGGAAATTCTTCAAATGAAATACTGCTGTGCTAAGGAGATTCTGCTGAGATTGGCTGCACGTGGATGGCAGCTTGGCATAGCTTGCTCAGCTTGGCTGCGATCTCCTTGCATATCGATAGCTTCGATTAGCAAAGCACTGAGCAAGAAAATGGCAATGATTCTGTTGCAGCTTGGCCTTCCTGATTGTTTGCACTTTAAACCAGAGACCTGGCAAGTTAAAGACTTCTGGACCAAGGAGAGTTATAAAGGATGGATGGTTTCTATTTGACAGTACGCTTGTGATCATCGCATACATTGAGCAGTTCGTCGAGTTATTTTCCAACGGCAATCATTCAGGGTACGAACAACAGGCGTGTCGGGCCTGGAACTGCATAAGTGTCGGATTTTTCCACAACCACAGTATGAATCAGTATGCCCAGAATACGTTTAAGCACGAAGCCTTCAAGTAGGTGCTAGTCCTTCGAACCACGCGCCTTTTTCGTTTGATCCGGACGTTTCGAATGTGTCGGGCTCAGTTTGTGCAGCTGCCCAGCCCAAAGCAGCTTTGCTCGCCCAATGTGAATTTGAGTCAACATCGTCGTCGTGAAATGTCGGCTGTAATCATATCAGATAGCGATTATGTGAGCATATGCTGTAATCGATTGTAGTGATGTGAAGCACCCTTCAAAGCCTATTTCCCGATTTAAGTGATTCTCACTGGAGACTCATCCTGAGCCCTGAGGATAAAGCAGATCAGATCTGTGTGGAGATTGGTATATGGTCTCATTACATGTGGCCACTTGCCTCACTAAAAGCAAATGCGCAGAAGCGTTCCTTGAGAACTACAGCCGCAACGTCGCTGCATCGCTGCATGCTTAGGCGAGACCATAACATCTACATTTATTTTGCTTTTCATCGCTTCTTGTCTGAAGAAGCTCAGCTTGTGCTTTCCGTGCTTTCTTGGCACAAGATCGCCAAATGATGAATATCTTTATTATGTTTCTTGTGTAATGCCTTTGGCATTTGGCAAGTATTTTGTTCACAGACTTCAGGTTTTGTATGTGTTTGGCGTTATGGGTCTTGATCTCAGAGATCACAATTGTTACCTTCTAAAGAAAGGGAATCAGCAGCGAGTCATCAGCGAATTTGAGAGGAAACAGGGTTGCAAGTGATGTTGCATGATGTTGCTTTGCATTTCGAGTCAGTTGGTGTCAGTTGCTGCTCTCGCATCCTGCTGAGCTAGGCCTTGAGCTGATAACCAAAGATGGCGAGCTGCGGAAAGATCCAGAGATAGACGCACTTATCGTCAACAACTTCAGTCCCTCTGCAAACTGCAAAAAAGCATTGACGTTGTTGCAGTGCTTCCACTCCGTTTTTGCTGATCACTCTGTTTGTTGCTCCGAGGTTCACTCCCCTTGGCCATGATGACATTGGTTCGATTTGATGCTTGGCCACACTTAGCATATCTTAGCATCATCTCCGCTCCTAGTCTTGAGATTGTTGATAGCATTCCAAGTTGCTGATCGGTTTTGAACATTTTTGACACCTTTCTGATCCTTTATGCATTTTGAGTTCGAGGTCACGATGGATTCTATATCTGTAATCTATGTACCTTGACATGGATCTGGCAGTGCTTCTGTATAAATGCCCCTCATTGGCTTGTTTTTGTACGTTCTGGAGGAATACAGATTCTGCTTTCGGTTTGAGCTGCATCAGTAGTTTGCAGAGCTCTTTGAAAGATTTTGAAAGTGGTTTCCGGCATTACCAGCTCAATTGCTGTCGCGCCACTTCATGCACAATATGTGACAGCCAAGAGGGACACCTGATGCATCGGGATTACCTCTTGACATTCAAGGCGCCTTTGATACAGGCAAAGGCATTAGTACTGGGCTTGTACTTTGGCCTGCTGATTTGCGTTGACTCTTGGTAGCAGGTTGTGGCGGGATGTGGCGGGTGTTCTTTACAGAAGAACATGGCGCAGATCCATTCGCAGGTTCTGAGCCAATCTGAGCCATCACCGGCTACATCCGGCTACCAAGGTCTCCATTTCCCTTATGAACCTTGTTACGGCAGTGATGGTGCCATGTCTGAACATCTTGATGAGTGGAGTTTGCTTTGGACATAATCTGTGATATGTATGCGGCAATTACCAGGTAGCTGGCATAGAGGATTCCCAAGCAGGGCACAGTGCTGGCAGATGCGACTGAACCGGAACCTCCCCAGTCATTTCGCATCACTTTTTCTAGAATGCTGCTGCTCAAAGGTTGAAGGGGCTCTCGAGCATGCTCGCCAAGAGAAAGAGAAACTCGGAGCATGATGTGCACAGTTGGGGTAGTGAGGTCAGTCTACCTTGCAAGGTGTATTTCTGCCAATGTTCTGCCACTTGTCTACAGGGAAGATGCAAAATTGGCAAAAGCCAAAGCCAAACAAATGGTTCCGGAGATTATCCACCTGTTCGACCAGATTGATATTGACGCTTGGTGGAAGGACAATGATTTCTTTGTTTCGATGTGAGCATTGTGAGGCTCATGATGCGGAATGTCACAGTGTCACACCATGTTTATAGCTGTGTGTTGTTTGCTTTGAAGAGGTCAACAGTCTTTGATTTTCATGTCCACGAATGCACGACCGACTTGTTAGTACTTTATTAATCTTTTTTATATTTTTTTTTGTGCAGATCAGACCAGTGCATCGGTCAGTCATTCTAGTTGAATCAGTTCAATGCGCAGTCAGTCGGTTTGTCCCACGAATGTCCGGAGGATTGTGGAAGATTATTTTTGAGTTGATGGGAACCGATTTTGCCAATCTTCACGTGAGACATTGCAGTGGTTTCGGATGTCTTTGGTCACCGATGGGAAGCCACAACATGCCAAAATATGCCAGAACCAATCGCTGAAATGTATTGAAATGTCACCTTTTGCCAGCTGCGTTGCAAATGTTCCAAGGATGGAAGCGGAGAAGTTGACTTAAAGGAGTGTGGAACTTATGGACTTAAGGACAAAAGAACATGCAGTGAAATGAATGATGCAGCTGATATACTAGCTACACGTATTACCAATTATTATTATATCATATTGTATCTATGATGCGATTAGCTGATGATAGCTGATAGCTGATGTTGACTGATTAGTTTAACTTACATCGCTATTAAATTGGCTCAACTAATGCAACTGCCCAAGGATGGCCAAGTTTGGGGAGGATGGACTGGTTCCGGATCGCTTGTTTGAGAAGGCCTCAGTGGATAGTTCCTTGGATTCAATATGATTTAGTCATGTGCATGACTTTGGCATACTTTGGCTGAAAATACGTTTATGAATTCAATGGTTATCATATGTCATCATCATTCATCATCATTTTCCGTATTTTGCCGATATTGATGAGTAATTAAATGGCCATTTGGAGGGTATACCATCCTGGACGACCGTATTCACATATTTTTTTGTGCAAATTATGGGTTCTTCCCGTAATTCTCATTTATTTATATTTATTTGGAGAATCCGTATGATGGCAAAATCTGCAATCGAGTCGGCCGAGCCGGCAATTTCAAGTGGCAGATTTGCTTTGAGCTCTCACCTGGTCCTACTCCATGTGGTAAAAGCACATCCAAATCAAATATAGCCAAATATAGGCGCACATACTAGTATTGTCGTCCATATTTGGGGACATATTTGCTAGCCATATTTGGCTACCTATGATTTCCATTGATTTCCTATATATTGTTTTGTACATCTTGTCATATCTTGTCGAAAAATGGTAACCAATGTCGCAAGACACGCTCTAGTATGAGCATGATGGGGGATTCCGACAAAGCTCCGCAATGACGAGTGAATGATTTCAAGACATGAAGATTTGTTACCCCTGCACGGAATCATGTGCATGCTTGCGTTCCAACTGCACTTTTTGTGAACAGAGGTATGTCCGATTTGTTCGACAATCTTACGACATCGGATCTTCTGACAGCACAGACTGGACGATCACGATCCAGGTTGCGGTCCGGGCCCCTCAGGCTCCTCAGAAGAATGTTTCCTTGCGAGGACCCGGGCGAGAAGTCACCTTGAAAGAGTTTTGGCCTGCAGCTAAGGTTTCCGATCCTGAGGAATTGCCCCTAGCGAAGTCTCCCACTGACTCCCAAAAACCAGCCGGTGTCTCGCCAGCTGCAACTGAGGGTGTCCGTAGCAGTGCTCGTGACCGCAGTCAACGCAGCAGGTCACCAAAGCGATCTGATGAGGTCGCTCCTACTATCCCTGATACTCAGGAAGACGAGAGCAAAGAAGATGAAAACATTGAAAAAAACGAGGAGAGTAGACCTCCCAAAAAACAGCGTTTGGTTGAACCCAGTGACCCTCAAGAGGCCCTCAGCAGTTTTGGGTGGCAGCAGTGGGACCAGCACGGAAATGGTGACTGCTTTTTTCGACATGCAAGCGTTTTTGTGAACAAGGCCAACACTCAACCTGCTGTCCAGGATAGTCAGCATCACGCGGCATGGATCAGAGCGCAGACTTGTCAGCATATCAAAAAACATTCACGTAGGTATGCGGAGCTTTTTGCAGGAAAGTCTGCTTTTGATGCTTGGCTCAATAACGCAGCCAAGCCCACCAGTTGGGCTGATGGCCGCACCATCCAGGCGGCCAGTGAGAAACTTGGTTGCCCAGTGGTGATTTGGAATAAGGATGGGAACACGTACACTCGATACGTGATTGCACCCAAGTTCAGCCGAGGTTTTGCCTGTGGTAGTACCGGTTGCAACCCCATTTGCCTTCTTCTCACTTCCAAACATTACACTGCCCTGGTGCCTCCCCCTACCGGTTCCGTCCCTCACAGTTGGCTTCGCGAAACTCCGGATGTTGTGATTGATCTCTCTGGCGGAGTTGGTGGTGTTGCTTCGGGTTCCTCTGGGCTTGCGTCTGATGGGCCTTCTCCCCCGTCTGTGCGTGCGGGCGGCTCTCCTTCCCAGAGGACTTCCTCCTCTGCCGGCACCCCCTCTGTGCACTCCCTCGCCTCTCCTGCTCCTTCCGTGGTTCAGGGTTCGGCGGGGCGGGTTGGTGGTCTGCTTGGCTTCTGTGCGGCTTCGTCCTCGCGTTCCCCCTCCGTGCACTCCTTGGTCAGGTCTGCTGCGTCTGTCCGCCCTGGCGTTTCCGGTGCTGTCCCCTGTGTTGCTCTGCCCCCGGTCACGCCCGTGCCCGCTCGGAGTTCTTGCCCTTCGGTCCCTACCCCGTCCGTCCGATCGGTCGCTCCGGTTCGCCGTTTGCGGTCTAAGACCTTCTGTGCGGACGCTTCTGAGTCGCGCTCGTGTCCTTCGTCGGGTCATCGCAGTGTGAGCGCCGCCGGTCCTGTGTCTGGTCCTGTCACCCCGTCCGTCCACTCGGTCGTCGATCCTGCCTGCCGTCGCCCTGCGCGTGCGTCTTCTTTGTCCTCTCTTTCTTTGGGCCCCCCTCCTGAAAGTGATTCCCCGCATTCCAGTGTTGACAAAGGTGGGGGGAGTAGAAATTGTACCCGTAAGATTAAATGCTTGAGTCCTGAAGAGATTGCTGCTATTCCTACGGTTGATTTGCCCGCGGATATTAAAAAGTGGTGGACCTGTGATATTTGCGGATATCAAATTTTTCGCCACGTCGAAGACAAACCTGAAATCCATCGCACAAGGAGAAAACATCACCTGCGGAAGAAACACGGCATTTCTTGTAACAATGTACCTGAAATTGTTGCGGACCCCGCACCTGTGGGTTCTGCTATTTCACCATGTGAGAAGTTTGCCCAGGTTTTGTGCGAAGTGCTCAATTCTGAGAAGTGGCCAGGTCTCCATCAGGTGAATCGCCCTGTCAAGCGCAAGGGCGCCCGAAACTTGGACTGGCCATGCGAGGCTTGTGGAAAAGTTTGCCGACAAGCTCAATTGGGTTCTCAAATTTGTAAGTCTTCTGATGGCGACAAGGTCCCCCAAGAAAGTGTCAGGCAGAAACTCCTCAAAAAATGCCAGAAAAAGGCTAGACAGATTCTGCAGCAAAAGTCGCAGGAGCGCACTAAACAGTTGAAGGACATCCATTTACGACAGGAACAACAGCGGTTTGTCCATGCGAAGCAGGTCACGCCTGCGCCTTTGTTTCAAGGACTGCCGGTTTTTCCAGCGGGGAACAGGGACGGGACTGTTTGGTGGAGCTGCTCCTTTTGTGATTTTAAGGTCATTCATGGAGAGCAAAGGCATAAAGCGTCGAAGAGAATCTACCACTTGACTTCTGTCCATGGGATCAAAAGTAAAGATATCCCTAAACTTCCCAAAACCGGGTTTAGACCTACGGGGGTTTTGGCTACTATCGACACTGTTCAAAAGCGATGGGTCCGGCAGCTTGAACTCTTCAAGAAGGTTCGCTGGGCTGCTGCTCATGATTTGTCGCCTGAACCTACGGCTGTCTACCAAACCAGGCATTCCAAAAATGGAAAGCGTTACACCTCCAAGAAATTTACTTGTCTCAAATGTTCCTGCTTTACCAGAAGTTCTGAAATCCCTGCGGCTATTTGTTCCACGGCCCAAAAAGGTCGCCTCCCTAGCCTAGCCTAGCGCAAGGCACTGTGGCAAAAGTGCCGCGAAGAAGCAGCCAAGGAAATCACTATTGATTTTTGCCAAAAGGATAACCAATCCAACAAACGAAAACTTGGATTTGATTCTGGAAATTCTTTCCCTAACAAACGTATGGTTCCTTCTTTCAGTAAAAAAGCTGACGGCAGTGCTGCCACGGGTCGGGGCCTCCGTGCTGTGCGGGTTGGAGAAGCTAAGCACCCGGGCCCGTCAGGCGACCATGGTGGCAAACTCAGATGTGTGGCTTGGAACATCAACTCCTTCCGAAATCATTTCGCGGCTATGTGTCAGGAAGCTGAGGCAGTCAATGCTAATGTGATCTTTCTCCAGGAAACGGGGATCACTAGAGGCCAAATGGTTTCTGCCATGCACTTGGCCCGTAGGCACGGCTGGCAGCTCAGTGGAACGCCAGCAGGGGCCGTTGCCGATGGCGGTCGTGGGGGCACCGCAATTTTGGTCAAAGAGCCTTTGGCCCTAGCGGATATCCATTCCACCACTGAAACTTGGGGTCAACTTCAGGTTGCCGAGATCCTTGGACACAAAGTCCCCATTACTGCTATTAACGGGTATAGACGGCCCCAGCAGGCGCTTGATGCCCCCAATGAAGCGCTTATGGAAAGTTTTTGTCGGAATCAGCACAAGCATTGGGTTTTTGCTTGCGATTGGAACTTGGACCCTGCCAGTGATCCTTTAGCATCTGTGATGACGTCCTTTTGTGGTCAGCTGGGTAGCTCTTCCGGTCACAAACGCAGTACTCATCCCACGGACTCTGTTTGGTTTTCTCAGTCTCTCAGTTGTGAGAAGCAATCGCCCATGGATGCTCTCTCCGACCATTTTGGCTCCTTTGTTGAGTTAGGCCAGATTCCCTGCTTAGATCCGTCCCCTCCTGCATGGATTTTCAAGTCGGTGGCTCGTTTCCAGGACAATTGTGATCTCCCTTCCGCTGATGACGCTGCTCAGGCTTGGAACCAAGTCAGCACACCGTCTGAGGTGTGGGAAGCGTTGGTTCAACAGGATATAAATGATGCCTGGTCTACCTGGTCCTCTGATGCGGAAGCTTTTCTGAAAAGAATCGGTGCAGTCAGCCATGAAAGCAGTGCTGCGCAAAGAGGGTCCTTGCCCACTCTGGTTAGCGGCCCCTCCCGACATGGCCCTGGTCAAAGCATCACGGAGAGGCGCCTCAGACGTGTGATCCGCAGATTGGACGAAGCTCAACGGCACGTTCACAACGGCACCTCGGTCCCTACCAATTTGCAGAGAACCTGCCAGAGAAATTGCAACCAATTTGGGTGCGGAGCTGATGCGCAAGCCCACAGGTGGGGGGCATGCCTCAAGGAGCTTACGGAGCAACTCAAACTTCTCCTCAAGCAGTCCAATCTGCATGCACTGCAAGGCTGGCGGCAGAAGGTGCAAACTTATGAAGGAGCCTGTGCTTGGCTCCGAAAGCAAGCTCCGCCCTCTTGGGCCCTCACGAACGATGTCAAGAACACTTCTGGTAGAAGTCAAGGGGCTGCGTTTTTATTTGAGTCTTGGAAGAATATTTTCTGCGGGCCCGAAGGCTATGAGCCCAAGGCTGAACCTTTTGTCCAAGCTTATGCAGCTTGGATCCCGCACAATCCGGAGCTGGTTACTCCTGAGCTTACTGCCCAGGGTCTTAAGGATACCGTCCGCCAGATGAGACGGAAGGCTGCTGGCCCGGACCAATGGTCTGCAGAAGCTTTGCTGCTGCTACCCGACATGGCTTGGGAGCGATTGACGGAGATGCTGTTGCAAGTGGAACAGGTAGGAAAGTGGCCTGCCCCGCTGGTGCAGTGGCGGCTGACATTTCTACCCAAGGTTTCTGCTGACAAAACTGGTGTTACCCATGTGGCCAAGGTGAGGCCGATTGCAATTGGATCCCTCATCTACAGGGCCTGGTCCAAGCACAGGTTCGCCCAGATCAGCCCAGGCCTGGTTGGCTTGCTGCATCAGCGTCAAGTTGGGGGGTTGCCAGGCATTGGCGCCGAAATGATGTTGGCCGCTCTGCAAAACCAAACTGATGCCGCCACTCACCCTTACGGCATGAGTTTGGATTACAAGAAAGCTTTTGATTCGGTCGACTATGTCATTTGTCTTCGTCTCTTCGAAGCACTCGGCATCCCGGGTCCCATCCTCAAAGCGCTCGGGGCGGCTTGGGATCAGCAGACAAGGTGGGTCACATATGGCCAATGTGTCCACCCTCAACCTATTGTGCATTGCCCAGCTTTGCTTCAAGGTGATCCTTTTGCTCCTCTTGGCATGGCTGTCATCTTGGCACCAGTGCTTCGCCAACTGCAAGCTCTTCACCCAGACATCTTCACAGTCACTTACATTGACGACAGGACTTGTTTGTGCCCGACTGTTGCTGATCTTGATGTGGTCAACAACGTTTGGTCTACCATGGAGTCCTTTTTGCGGCTCCGCACGAATGAGGAGAAGAGTCAAATCTGGGCTCGCTCTCCTGAGGCTTTGGCAAAGTTGGATAACACCCACTATAGCTCCAATGCCAGCTTCACCATGCAGGTCCTTGGGGCTACGCTTGGTTCAGCGGAACGTGCTCTCTCTGACCGTGAGAGGGACACGTTGCAAGATGTCGCTCGTCGTTCAAGGCGCATTGCTTGTTTGCCTGTGAGTGCTCGCCTCAAAGGTCGCCTGGCAGCCACCGTGTTGGGGCCCAAAGCAGTGTGGGGCCATGTGATCAACGGTCGCTGCCCGACCCAGAAGGATAATGCCTGTTTCTTCCGCCACTTCAAGGCGGCGACAAGTGACAACCGGTTCGTCAAAGGGCGCTCGTCCATGGACCTCAAGCGTGCTTTCTTCTTTGGTCACACATGCGACTTGGCCTTTTATGGGGCCCTCCGCACCATCAGCTCGGGTTTTGCCTGGGCACGCCACTGTGCCAGTTTGGGTGAGAACTGTCGGTGGAGCCCGTCTACGGTGGTTTGCCTCAATAGCATCCTGCAAGACTTGGGCTGGTGTGCTCATAGCAATGCAGTCGGCCAGAGCGGGGTTGTCCCATGCATCCATTTTGGGGCTGTGAAAGCTGAAGTTGACAAATGTCTCCATCATATTCGAGACGCTTGGCGTTTGAAAAAAGTGCGTCAGTGGTTGTTGCACCGCACCAGGATTGATAGTGGGATAGGTCGTGATACCAATCTTATCATTTCCGAGCCTCTGATTAAAAAGATCAGATCTATTCTCAGGGATTGTGATGCTCATGTTGTCTCTGTTGCCTGTGGAGGGTTCCAAACTGTCACCATTGACTTTGAGAGACTGCATCAAGGGGTCGCTCCTATTCAGCAGTGTCCGTATTGTTTGCAGCTTGATGTTCCAGGCGTCATTCATGTCTTGTGGAGCTGTCAGGCCTTTTCTCATTTGAGGTTGCTTCCGCAGCCTGAGTGCCCTCTCGCCTCCAGGATTGGTTGGAGCAGTTCCCATCAAGTCACTAAGGATCTCTTGGTGCAGATGGGCAAAATCCGGGCAGCCGAAGCTGCTCGGCGCTTGGCACCTGTGGGTGCTGGCTGAGGCTGACGCGTGGCTTCCTTGGGCTGCTATGCACTATGTTCTGCTGCTTGCGGCGGGGCATGGGCAGCATGCGGCGCGCGACTACAAACATTTGTTCGACAATCGCCAGCGGAGAAACACCCCCTGCAGCATAGCTGCTTGGTGCTGGTGGGCCTACTGCGCTGTTTGGTGCAGTGGGTGCAGAGTTTCAAAAAGCACCTTAATTGGATTGCAAGACAAAAAAAAAATCAAAAAAGAGAATAAACAAAAGGCAAAAAAAGAAAAAAAAACAAGAAAAAACGAATTCACGCCTGATGTGCAAAATGCGGCTGACAGATGTCAGTCGAAACAAGAGTCCATGACGGACCACCGAATTCAAAATGCGGCTGATTTCAAGCAGTCGAAACAATATACCAAAAGAGAAGTCAAGAGAATGAAGATCAATGGATCTCAACCTAGACAGTTGCCTTGCTGGCTGGCGCTGCTGTGCTTGGTGTGCTTGCCTGCCCAAGCTGCGTCTTCTTCCGCGGAAAGCCCCGTGGCCTGCACTAGACTTAGCCCCTTGGAGGGCTCCCCGGGTGCGTCGTTTGGCGGTGGGTTAGCCGCGGCCAACATGACCCTTTGCAATGGTCTGTGCGGCAGCTGTCCTGCAGTGAAGTTCGCGCATTGTGCGCCCTCGAACTCAACATGCGCTGCGCCTCAGTGCCATTGCAGTGAGCTCCTGGCACCTAGCAGCGAGGCCAATATTGCATCTTGGCTGGCACCTACCGAGAGCGATTTGTGGGATCCAGATTCTTGGGATTCTCCTTGGTCACTCGTGGTGGGTTTTTTGCTGTTTGATTTTCATGTTGAAATTTGGCCTCATTTCCTGATGTGGTCATTTACTTCAGTGATCCTTTTAGGAAGGGTACACAAACTCAAACGAAAACGGCGTAGGTCAAACAGGTCTTGCCGGAGAGGTAAACGATTTGTGTTCAGCCGTACTGTTTCCATGTGCCGTTTTGTTCGGTCGAGACGAGTTAGGTGGGCTCGCATGAAATGTAGGCTTTCGACACGTCAGAAAGTCTTGGTGAGACGGGGCTTCAAATTCCGTTCCAAGCCAAAGTTTCCATCACCGGTGTCGGACAAGGAAATGCCTGAATTTTCGCAAAGCAAATCTGCTTGGTCTAAATTTAGCAAAGCTTATGTTGATCTTCTTTGCTCGGGTGTCTTGGTTGGGGGTACTCTCAACCAGTACAAGAAACACCCACCTCGACGGAAATATGCCAAACGGGGTGAGGGGAATAGCAATACTCTGGGCGAACAAACCCGGGATTTGATTGCTGTTTTGAAGCAGTGCCTCAACAATGAACCTTCACTGGAGCATTTGTGGTCGCCCCTACAGGCCACTGTCGCCCAGACGGTGCCTCATAGGACCAAAAAAAGTGGGCCCAAGAAAAAGAAACTGAAAAGCGTCGGCTCCAAACCTCCTGCTGACACATGCGGGACTGATGAAAGGGTTCTGTGGTGGACTGATGAAACCGGTCACAAGAGAGCGTATACCATCAACCAAAGAGGGTGGTGGACTTGGGTACCTGATGTTCCGACCTCAGCAAGCCATCATCATCCTGCCAACAGAGCGGCTGGTCACAAAGGCGAGCCGAACCAAGGTAGACTTGGCACTTGGATTTCAGGGGTGAGGTCCACTGATTGGGCTACTCAGCCTGTTCCCAAGCTCATTTCTTTCCCTAAAATTCGTGACTCCCTGAAACTTGGACAAGAGATTGAAGGGAATGTGGTTGAGATATGGAGCCCGGATGTCCTTGATGAGTTGAACACCTTGTGGTCATGTTTTGGAAAAACTGAGGGTTTGACCGCCATCCTCTTTGGAGAGGCCAGAGCCCAGAATCCTGAGGCCACCTCGGCCAGGTTGTCAGTGACCCGAGGGTCGTTTGGACCAAAGCTTGAAGAAGGTTCGCTCTTGCGGATTGGTCCTGGCCAAGGTCCTTGGCTCCCCGGCAGCAAGAAAGTTGACATCAGCACCATCCCTACGGTGCAAAGGGAAACCTTGCGAGTTGCTGCTCCAAGTTTTTTCAGGGTCCCCTTTATCGGAGACCGCCGAGAAGACTCCCCAACCTTGATTGTGCAAGCCTTAGCAAGTCTTGCTGAGGCACCTCTGCATGATTTTTTAGGGGGGCGCTGGAATGCCCAAGAAACGAAGGATGGCAAACAGCTTGTGGCTTTTTTACGCCTGAAGTCTTCCACTGTGGCTAAACTGAAGCCTTTGAGTGGCCAGTCTGGTTTGTTTTTCACTCATATTAACCCCAAAGACAAAACGGAGTTTCATCCTTTTTGGATCCAGAGGAATTCCCAAGAAAATGACGAAACCTACTTCAGACGTGTTGCGGCGTTACAAAAGGAGCGTGCACAACCTATGATTTTCAGGTTTGGCTCTGGTGCTAACCTTGGCTTCTGCAAGAGACCCAGGGATGTCCCCCCGGAGAAAGTCAGGATGCATGTTGCTCAGGGCGTCCCCCGGGCTTGGGGGATTGGTGACTTGGAATCATTTTTGCACTCTCAGGCATGGTCTGAAATCTCTGACCTTGTCCGTAAGCGAAACTCATGGACTTTTCGGGCAAAGGCTCCGAAAGACAATGCCACCACAGCATCTTGGCATTACGACATCGGATCTTCTGACAGCACAGACTGGACGATCACGATCCAGGTTGCGGTCCGGGCCCCTCAGGCTCCTCAGAAGAATGTTTCCTTGCGAGGACCCAGGCGAGAAGTCACCTTGAAAGAGTTTTGGCCTGCAGCTAAGGTTTCCGATCCTGAGGAATTGCCCCTAGCGAAGTCTCCCACTGACTCCCAAAAACCAGCCGGTGTCTCGCCAGCTGCAACTGAGGGTGTCCGTAGCAGTGCTCGTGACCGCAGTCAACGCAGCAGGTCACCAAAGCGATCTGATGAGGTCGCTCCTACTATCCCTGATACTCAGGAAGACGAGAGCAAAGAAGATGAAAACATTGAAAAAAACGAGGAGAGTAGACCTCCCAAAAAACAGCGTTTGGTTGAACCCAGTGACCCTCAAGAGGCCCTCAGCAGTTTTGGGTGGCAGCAGTGGGACCAGCACGGAAATGGTGACTGCTTTTTTCGACATGCAAGCGTTTTTGTGAACAAGGCCAACACTCAACCTGCTGTCCAGGATAGTCAGCATCACGCGGCATGGATCAGAGCGCAGACTTGTCAGCATATCAAAAAACATTCACGTAGGTATGCGGAGCTTTTTGCAGGAAAGTCTGCTTTTGATGCTTGGCTCAATAACGCAGCCAAGCCCACCAGTTGGGCTGATGGCCGCACCATCCAGGCGGCCAGTGAGAAACTTGGTTGCCCAGTGGTGATTTGGAATAAGGATGGGAACACGTACACTCGATACGTGATTGCACCCAAGTTCAGCCGAGGTTTTGCCTGTGGTAGTACCGGTTGCAACCCCATTTGCCTTCTTCTCACTTCCAAACATTACACTGCCCTGTTGCCTCCCCCTACCGGTTCCGTCCCTCACAGTTGGCTTCGCGAAACTCCGGATGTTGTGATTGATCTCTCTGGCGGAGTTGGTGGTGTTGCCTCGGGTTCCTCTGGGCTTGCGTCTGTTGGGCCTTCTCCCCCGTCTGTGCGCGCGGGCGGCTCTCCTTCCCAGAGGACTTCCTCCTCTGCCGGCACCCCCTCTGTGCACTCCCTCGCCTCTCCTGCTCCTTCCGTGGTTCAGGGTTCGGCGGGGCGGGTTGGTGGTCTGCTTGGCTTCTGTGCGGCTTCGTCCTCGCGTTCCCCCTCCGTGCACTCCTTGGTCAGGTCTGCTGCGTCTGTCCGCCCTGGCGTTTCCGGTGCTGTCCCCTGTGTTGCTCTGCCCCCGGTCACGCCCGTGCCCGCTCGGAGTTCTTGCCCTTCGGTCCCTACTCCGTCCGTCCGATCGGTCGCTCCGGTTCGCCGTTTGCGGTCTAAGACCTTCTGTGCGGACGCTTCTGAGTCGCGCTCGTGTCTTTCGTCGGGTCATCGCTGTGTGAGCGCCGCCGGTCCTGTGTCTGGTCCTGTCACCCCGTCCGTCCACTCGGTCGTTGATCCTGCCTGCCGTCGCCCTGCGCGTGCGTCTTCTTTGTCCTCTCTTTCTTTGGGCCCCCCTCCTGAAAGTGATTCCCCGCATTCCAGTGTTGACAAAGGTGGGGGGAGTAGAAATTGTACCCGTAAGATTAAATGCTTGAGTCCTGAAGAGATTGCTGCTATTCCTACGGTTGATTTGCCCGCGGATATTAAAAAGTGGTGGACCTGTGATATTTGCGGATATCAAATTTTTCGCCACGTCGAAGACAAACCTGAAATCCATCGCACAAGGAGAAAACATCACCTGCGGAAGAAACACGGCATTTCTTGTAACAATGTACCTGAAATTGTTGCGGACCCCGCACCTGTGGGTTCTGCTATTTCACCATGTGAGAAGTTTGCCCAGGTTTTGTGCGAAGTGCTCAATTCTGAGAAGTGGCCAGGTCTCCATCAGGTGAATCGCCCTGTCAAGCGCAAGGGCGCCCGAAACTTGGACTGGCCATGCGAGGCTTGTGGAAAAGTTTGCCGACAAGCTCAATTGGGTTCTCAAATTTGTAAGTCTTCTGATGGCGACAAGGTCCCCCAAGAAAGTGTCAGGCAGAAACTCCTCAAAAAATGCCAGAAAAAGGCTAGACAGATTCTGCAGCAAAAGTCGCAGGAGCGCACTAAACAGTTGAAGGACATCCATTTACGACAGGAACAACAGCGGTTTGTCCATGCGAAGCAGGTCACGCCTGCGCCTTTGTTTCAAGGACTGCCGGTTTTTCCAGCGGGGAACAGGGACGGGACTGTTTGGTGGAGCTGCTCCTTTTGTGATTTTAAGGTCATTCATGGAGAGCAAAGGCATAAAGCGTCGAAGAGAATCTACCACTTGACTTCTGTCCATGGGATCAAAAGTAAAGATATCCCTAAACTTCCCAAAACCGGGTTTAGACCTACGGGGGTTTTGGCTACTATCGACACTGTTCAAAAGCGATGGGTCCGGCAGCTTGAACTCTTCAAGAAGGTTCGCTGGGCTGCTGCTCATGATTTGTCGCCTGAACCTACGGCTGTCTACCAAACCAGGCATTCCAAAAATGGAAAGCGTTACACCTCCAAGAAATTTACTTGTCTCAAATGTTCCTGCTTTACCAGAAGTTCTGAAATCCCTGCGGCTATTTGTTCCGCGGCCCAAAAAGGTCGCCTCCCTAGCCTAGCCAAGCGCAAGGCACTGTGGCAAAAGTGCCGCGAAGAAGCAGCCAAGGAAATCACTATTGATTTTTGCCAAAAGGATAACCAATCCAACAAACGAAAACTTGGATTTGATTCTGGAAATTCTTTCCCTAACAAACGTATGGTTCCTTCTTTCAGTAAAAAAGCTGACGGCAGTGCTGCCACGGGTCGGGGCCTCCGTGCTGTGCGGGTTGGAGAAGCTAAGCACCCGGGCCCGTCAGGCGACCATGGTGGCAAACTCAGATGTGTGGCTTGGAACATCAACTCCTTCCGAAATCATTTCGCGGCTATGTGTCAGGAAGCTGAGGCAGTCAATGCTAATGTGATCTTTCTCCAGGAAACGGGGATCACTAGAGGCCAAATGGTTTCTGCCATGCACTTGGCCCGTAGGCACGGCTGGCAGCTCAGTGGAACGCCAGCAGGGGCCGTTGCCGATGGCGGTCGTGGGGGCACCGCAATTTTGGTCAAAGAGCCTTTGGCCCTAGCGGATATCCATTCCACCACTGAAACTTGGGGTCAACTTCAGGTTGCCGAGATCCTTGGACACAAAGTCCCCATTACTGCTATTAACGGGTATAGACGGCCCCAGCAGGCGCTTGATGCCCCCAATGAAGCGCTTATGGAAAGTTTTTGTCGGAATCAGCACAAGCATTGGGTTTTTGCTTGCGATTGGAACTTGGACCCTGCCAGTGATCCTTTAGCATCTGTGATGACTTCCTTTTGTGGTCAGCTGGGTAGCTCTTCCGGTCACAAACGCAGTACTCATCCCACGGACTCTGTTTGGTTTTCTCAGTCTCTCAGTTGTGAGAAGCAATCGCCCATGGATGCTCTCTCCGACCATTTTGGCTCCTTTGTTGAGTTAGGCCAGATTCCCTGCTTAGATCCGTCCCCTCCTGCATGGATTTTCAAGTCGGTGGCTCGTTTCCAGGACAATTGTGATCTCCCTTCCGCTGATGACGCTGCTCAGGCTTGGAACCAAGTCAGCACACCGTCTGAGGTGTGGGAAGCGTTGGTTCAACAGGATATAAATGATGCCTGGTCTACCTGGTCCTCTGATGCGGAAGCTTTTCTGAAAAGAATCGGTGCAGTCAGCCATGAAAGCAGTGCTGCGCAAAGAGGGTCCTTGCCCACTCTGGTTAGCGGCCCCTCCCGACATGGCCCTGGTCAAAGCATCACGGAGAGGCGCCTCAGACGTGTGATCCGCAGATTGGACGAAGCTCAACGGCACGTTCACAACGGCACCTCGGTCCCTACCAATTTGCAGAGAACCTGCCAGAGAAATTGCAACCAATTTGGGTGCGGAGCTGATGCGCAAGCCCACAGGTGGGGGGCATGCCTCAAGGAGCTTACGGAGCAACTCAAACTTCTCCTCAAGCAGTCCAATCTGCATGCACTGCAAGGCTGGCGGCAGAAGGTGCAAACTTATGAAGGAGCCTGTGCTTGGCTCCGAAAGCAAGCTCCGCCCTCTTGGGCCCTCACGAACGATGTCAAGAACACTTCTGGTAGAAGTCAAGGGGCTGCGTTTTTATTTGAGTCTTGGAAGAATATTTTCTGCGGGCCCGAAGGCTATGAGCCCAAGGCTGAACCTTTTGTCCAAGCTTATGCAGCTTGGATCCCGCACAATCCGGAGCTGGTTACTCCTGAGCTTACTGCCCAGGGTCTTAAGGATACCGTCCGCCAGATGAGACGGAAGGCTGCTGGCCCGGACCAATGGTCTGCAGAAGCTTTGCTGCTGCTACCCGACATGGCTTGGGAGCGATTGACGGAGATGCTGTTGCAAGTGGAACAGGTAGGAAAGTGGCCTGCCCCGCTGGTGCAGTGGCGGCTGACATTTCTACCCAAGGTTTCTGCTGACAAAACTGGTGTTACCCATGTGGCCAAGGTGAGGCCGATTGCAATTGGATCCCTCATCTACAGGGCCTGGTCCAAGCACAGGTTCGCCCAGATCAGCCCAGGCCTGGTTGGCTTGCTGCATCAGCGTCAAGTTGGGGGGTTGCCAGGCATTGGCGCCGAAATGATGTTGGCCGCTCTGCAAAACCAAACTGATGCCGCCACTCACCCTTACGGCATGAGTTTGGATTACAAGAAAGCTTTTGATTCGGTCGACTATGTCATTTGTCTTCGTCTCTTCGAAGCACTCGGCATCCCGGGTCCCATCCTCAAAGCGCTCGGGGCGGCTTGGGATCAGCAGACAAGGTGGGTCACATATGGCCAATGTGTCCACCCTCAACCTATTGTGCATTGCCCAGCTTTGCTTCAAGGTGACCCTTTTGCTCCTCTTGGCATGGCTGTCATCTTGGCACCAGTGCTTCGCCAACTGCAAGCTCTTCACCCAGACATCTTCACAGTCACTTACATTGACGACAGGACTTGTTTGTGCCCGACTGTTGCTGATCTTGATGTGGTCAACAACGTTTGGTCTACCATGGAGTCCTTTTTGCGGCTCCGCACGAATGAGGAGAAGAGTCAAATCTGGGCTCGCTCTCCTGAGGCTTTGGCAAAGTTGGATAACACCCACTATAGCTCCAATGCCAGCTTCACCATGCAGGTCCTTGGGGCTACGCTTGGTTCAGCGGAACGTGCTCTCTCTGACCGTGAGAGGGACACGTTGCAAGATGTCGCTCGTCGTTCAAGGCGCATTGCTTGTTTGCCTGTGAGTGCTCGCCTCAAAGGTCGCCTGGCAGCCACCGTGTTGGGGCCCAAAGCAGTGTGGGGCCATGTGATCAACGGTCGCTGCCCGACCCAGAAGGATAATGCCTGTTTCTTCCGCCACTTCAAGGCGGCGACAAGTGACAACCGGTTCGTCAAAGGGCGCTCGTCCATGGACCTCAAGCGTGCTTTCTTCTTTGGTCACACATGCGACTTGGCCTTTTATGGGGCCCTCCGCACCATCAGCTCGGGTTTTGCCTGGGCACGCCACTGTGCCAGTTTGGGTGAGAACTGTCGGTGGAGCCCGTCTACGGTGGTTTGCCTCAATAGCATCCTGCAAGACTTGGGTTGGTGTGCTCATAGCAATGCAGTCGGCCAGAGCGGGGTTGTCCCATGCATCCATTTTGGGGCTGTGAAAGCTGAAGTTGACAAATGTCTCCATCATATTCGAGACGCTTGGCGTTTGAAAAAAGTGCGTCAGTGGTTGTTGCACCGCACCAGGATTGATAGTGGGATAGGTCGTGATACCAATCTTATCATTTCCGAGCCTCTGATTAAAAAGATCAGATCTATTCTCAGAGATTGTGATGCTCATGTTGTCTCTGTTGCCTGTGGAGGGTTCCAAACTGTCACCATTGACTTTGAGAGACTGCATCAAGGGGTCGCTCCTATTCAGCAGTGTCCGTATTGTTTGCAGCTTGATGTTCCAGGCGTCATTCATGTCTTGTGGAGCTGTCAGGCCTTTTCTCATTTGAGGTTGCTTCCGCAGCCTGAGTGCCCTCTCGCCTCCAGGATTGGTTGGAGCAGTTCCCATCAAGTCACTAAGGATCTCTTGGTGCAGATGGGCAAAATCCGGGCAGCCGAAGCTGCTCGGCGCTTGGCACCTGTGGGTGCTGGCTGAGGCTGAAGCGTGGCTTCCTTGGGCTGCTATGCACTATGTTCTGCTGCTTGCGGCGGGGCATGGGCAGCATGCGGCGCGCGACTACACATTTGTTCGACAATCTCGACGTAGATGGTTCCGGCATCATCACACGTTGCTTGGATGCATTCTTCTATATATCATTCACTGCCTGAGAGAGTGAGCTGATGATGCACCAAGTGGACTCAAACATTTCATGTGGCGTGAGGGGTTCTTACTCTGCGAAAGAATCTGATTCCGTGTTTCTGCCGGGAAATGTCATGCATTGCGGGCCAGTCCCGGTTGTTTCTGGTTATCACCTTCCACGAGGCTATGAGTTTATCGAGGGTCTTTTGCTTCTTGGCTGTACTAATGCGCATGAGCAAAAGTATGCAAAACTATAAAAGCATATGAAAGCGGAATTGCAGCGTTTCCTCTGCTTCAGCTCTGGTTGTTGTTCTCCGGTAAAAGCTGGTTCTTTTGCTTGTGGTGCAAGGTCAGTGAACTGAATTTTGCTTTGCTTCATACCGTGTTGTCGCACACGCTCATGTCAAAAGCCTTTGCAATCAAGGAACCTGTTCCTTCGCGATGTTCCGGTGTCAGCGCAAATGACGATGAAGATGATTCGTCAAGTGAGGGCTGACGTGCCCCAACTTAGTTGGTCGTTCTGCGAGAAGGGGTGGATCTGCGCTGACAAAGGATGACAAACTGCAAGATGATTTCTTGCATTTCAGGTGATTATAGTGGAATCATAAACTAAATAGGTGACGGTGAATAGGTGAATAATTAATTCATATTAATTCTGCATGTCCGTCCTTTCAGACTGATCTATCCTGTTTGAAGGATGGTGAGCCCATTGCCAGCCCCCAGCCCGACATTTGCAGACCTTTCAGTCAAGTCCAATGCTGCAGGTATCTCGTCTCCAGACCAATCTGCAGGAGCTTGACAAGACGGTGGATGTTCTCCGGCCATTCCCAACTATTTAAGACGGATCCAAGTTGAATAATAGCGAAGTGAGATTATGTGAGATTCATTGTGGTTGAATCATATTGAATCACTCTGGCTCTGATCCCATTTTTTGCTCGATGTGTATAGATTTGCCTCTTTTTTCTCTGCGATCTCTGGCCCTTTGCTCTCAAAATGAAGCATGGGTGCCATGAGCGGCTATTGTTTCACAAAATTGACGGAGGACTCTGCTCCCACCAGGAGATCCTGTTTAAAACGGGGCCTTTCTACTGGAAGCATGATTTCACAAGGCCTACGCACACTGGAATTGGCGGAGAATAAATGACAATAATCAGGAATTAATGTGTATTATATATATATATATCATAGGATCATTTTCTGCACTTTTTGCAGGTAAGACATGCCGAGGCATGTGTGAGTATTATGTGAGTATGCTTGAGATGCGATCACCTATGAGCGCCTTTCTAACGTAGTAGCCTCTCGCCTTGCAATTCGGATTGTGGGCGATTCGTAAAACAACCGTTGCAGCATAGAAATGGGCGAACATGAGCTGAGGAAAAAGACCGCTGCAGCGATTGTGGTGCCAGCTCGGGTAGGGGGTTGAGGTATTTGCGAAGCGTTGCGAAGTTCCCAATCAGAGTCTCACGCACATGATTAAACTATGGTCTATGGCATCTATGGTGTGTGATGAAGTGATCAAACTCTGAAACCGGTGCACAGTTTCAATCTTTGAAATTCGGTGGAGTGTTATGGAGATGGGAGACTGCAAAGAAATACAATCACAGCATATCACAACCCAGATCTGACTCAGCACCTACAGTGAGTTCTACACCTTGACACGCCTAAGACATAATAATTAAGACGTTTTGCAGCCCTCCCAAGTGGCCCTGAGACCGACATTAATTATGCCAGTCCAACCCTCAAACCCCGAGTCAACACGGGAACCCTTAGGCCTTAGGTAAGCATTCAGGAAAAATGATGAAAAATGTAGCTTGGCAATGCTTTAGCATCATCTTAGAAGCGTCCCAGAATGAAATTGCAGACGTAGTTTTCCCACATGTTCTCCATTGTTTTCCCATGGTTTTCCCTTCCACCTTTTGTGTTGTCCATGTGCGCGCGTTGTTTGTTTGTTCCCTTTGCGTTTTTCAGCATGCTATCATCCAGCAGACCTTACGGTCATCTACAGACCAGACGACCACAGCCAGCGAGAGAGAGAGAGAGAGAGAAAGAGAGACGTAGATAGACGTCGTTTATTATGATGTTACATCTTTTTTTTGAGCGGGGGGAGAAGCCATCTTACAAGAAGATACAAGAAGTTTAGATTCTTTGCGGGAATCTTGGGGCCTTTCAAATGCCGTACTACTTTTTCGGGCTGTCATGCTGGATTTCTTGGATTGAAGGCCACCATCTTTGTACCTTCCGAAACTCCAAGCCTCCATGCTTTTAAACTTCTCAAACATGTACAGCAACTTTTTTTTTGGGGTGGGGCCGGGCTATGGGAGCCGTGATAACAGCAGCCGCTCAGGAAGGATAGTCATTACGCATTGAAATCATATGGAGAACGGTTTGTGCGTCGTGTTGGCATGTTTCTACGCCCACTGGTACCGGCCAGTAGCATAGTGAGAAGTGTGGTTTTACATGTGGGATTAGAGTAGTATATGCATGCAGGTATGTAAAGGACAAGGTCACTTTTGGGAATTGTAAAACTGAGAATGATCCAAATTGCTTGTGAGTAAGTCTGACTGTGGCATGAAACGTGTGTTGCTCAAGTTCAAGCTGCATGGATTGGGTCCCAAAGGTGCTAGGTCTCATCAGTACTGGGATCCACTCCAACTGGTGGGGGTTGTCGTGCCCTTCACACTGCTTTGGGTGGGGGCTTCCAAGCATCCTTGCCTCTTTCACCCTTGGACTCTTCTCCGGGCTCTTGCTGGGGGCCATCACCCTTGCCTGGTTTCTTGGACTTTTCCAGACAAGGGGCTTCACGGCACAACCAGAGGTCAGACCTCCAGGACCTACCATCGCACGCCTTAGGGCGTATCTGGATGAGCCAGAATCATCCGGACCTCTCCAACGACGGCGACGACGAGATTAGCCTGGCTGTCTCCTACCAAGGTCTTCGGATCTCTGTCATCTCTGTCATTGGCCCATCCGAGAAGGCCCTCGACTTCGTCCATCGGCTCTCACCTGACTACCAGCCATCTCAGGGCATCATCCGGCCACCTGGCACTTCTTCCACAGCTGCGAGCTCAGGTCAGAGTGCTCCTGCTTCTCCTCCTTGTCCTGACAACGTGCTGGCACTGGCCACACGGCTTTCAGCAGCGAGCATACTCAAGCCAGAGGAGAGGATCAGGAGGGCTTGGAGTTGTGGTGTTAGAGACAGGGCAAGGATTGAAGGTCGAGTTGTCCCCTACGAGCCAATCGTCTCCATTGATTTGCCCATCAACTATTACGTGGTTGCCAGAGCCCAGGGTGTTTCTGAGCCACGGATCTTGCGCAGCCAGAAAGACTACAGGAGGTCTTTTGCTGGCCTTGGGCCCCCAGAGGAGATTGGTTGTGAGTTCCCATCCGAGACAGAAGCTCGGGCCTATATCACTGCTCTTGGATACGGCCACTTTGCAGGGGTGTAGAACAGATGGCGGAAGAGGATCCAGAGGAGGATGCTGCGGAGCTTTTAGAAGCTGTGCTCCCTCTACATGCCGATTTTGGCCAAAGCGGTTTCCAGCCCTACGTGTTGGACTTGCAGAAGGCTGGACTGGCTGTAGAAGAGCCCTTTTTCACCATTGCATTTGTCGTGATGACACGAAAGGAAGGCATGCTGTTGGCTCTTCCAGAATTAGCAATTCCTGCCGAAGCGCAGGGGCTTGGAGCAAAAGCAGGGCCCACAGACCTTCTTGGCCCTTCAGTCAAGGTCGAAGTTCAGGCTGCGTTGATGCAAGAGGACGCGCTGCTGAACCTGCCTACAGTTTTGGAAGGCAAGACTCTCACGGTTTTGCTCATGGACTTTTCTTTGGAGGTAGAAGGTTGCTTGAGAGGAGTGGCTATGAAGGAGGACCTAGAAGATGTCACGTCCTTCGAGTTTTTGGAGGAAAATGTGGTGCCAGCGCCTGGAGAGCTGGTCACAAAGGCTCAGCTTTGGGCACCTTCTGCAAAGAAGTCAACAAGAAGGCGCACTCCCGGTGGGGGTACCGCTTCAGGCGAACCTGGAGCCATGCCGAAGAGGAAAGTCATGCGCTCCCTCACATCACTGCGAAGCTCCAAGATCTTTCAGAGAGAACAGCCGCAATCGAAGCAGGAGGGGCCCCCACAGGGGTAGGAGGAAGGCCATCAGCATTGAGAGGGCCCATTGGCACCTCAACTACTCTTGGATCCGGGAGCTCCTTGACCCCGGCCCAACTGGTCAAAGAGATGCCACCACCCAAAAGTATGGCCTCCCCACAGAAGACCCCCAAGGTTACCTTTGCGGATGGCGATGCGGAAGAGATAGCGGCGGAGTTCCCTTCAGAGACGGGCAGCTTCGCACAAGCCATGCTGGAGCAGTCAAAAGCTTTGACCATGTTGGTCTCACAGCTTGCGGCCAACTCGACAGACCCCCTGACGGACATGTCAGGCACCTTGGGGACGCTTTCATCCAAGGGTGCAGCGGGTCGCGCCAGGCTTCAAGCAGAGTTGGCCTCTCACAAGGGCACATTCTTTTTGAGTGTGATGCAATCAATGGCAAGGAGGATGCAGCCTGGTCGACTTGCAGAGACAGACATGGCAGATTTGAGGAGCAGAGGTGTCACAGCCACACAGTACCTGGAACGTTTTGGAGGTTTTGGGAGGACCAGGGACTTAGGCTTCATCATATGGCAAGTGGCCCTTTGCATGAACTACATGCAGGAAGAGAATTTTCCTGCTGCAAAAGACGTGATGAGCCTCCTCTTTGTGTGTCTGGAGCAGTCAGCGATGGACAATGGCAACATGCAGGTGGGCTTGCTCCTGTCACTGACCGAGGATCCTCCCCACTCTCTCTTCAGCCAGCGGTCAGTGGCAACGATGACTCACCCACGCCCTTTTGCGCCAACAGCCAACCAGAGGTGGGTTACCACAGCCCTGGCTTACCTCAAAGAGATGGACTTGATCTCAACACGTCGCTCGGAGATCTCAAATGCCAGGGGCTCCAGCGACCAGCCAGCGCAGAGCTCAACCACCAGCCAGAATGCAGCAGCAGCTTCAAAGAAGAAGCCAAAAGGAAAAGGAGGAAAGGGAAAGCAGAACCCCCAGACCGAGGAGGAGAACTAGAAAGGCCTGACGAGTCTCGCCTCGAAGAGACAATCTCCTTCGGGAGGCTTCTTGCTGCTTTACCTCGATGGATTTTGCGTTCCAAGACGAAGTTTTCGTCTTTCCTGGTCAGAACCTTCCACATCTCCAGGAGTGGCCACTGCCCTCCCTCCGCTGTCTTTCCCATCCCCGCACCTCGACTTGGACTTTTCACGGTGCAGGATGTCCCCAAGCTCAATGCCAAGAAGTGGAAGAGGCTTTGCTTCAACCGTTCCATCCACATCTTGGTCATGGCACTCAACTACATCCATTGTGGCTTGACTTTCATCCCCATGGATTTGCTTGGGAGGAGCCCCAACCAGACTCATCTGACCATCTATCGTCGGTTGAGAGCTCTTTTGACAGCGTGTGATCGCCCTGACAGCCATTTGATGCCGCCAGGGAGGTCTGGTCCAGAATTCATTGCCCGTCTCACCGAGCTTGAGCACTTTGCCGGCTCACACAGTGCCTTCAATCCCGACCAATACGTTGGATCAGCCAATGAAGGCCCAAAGACATTACGGAGAGTTGGAGAGATTGAGGCGCAGCATCGTTTTGAGGTGACTGAGGAGTTTTCCCCCATACAGCCTTACAGAAGTTTGCAAGCATCAAGGCTGAAGCTCACAGGCAGAGGTGACTGGCCACTTGAGGATTTTCTTGACAATATCCTTTTCCTTCCCTACGTTGAACCAGCCATTCTTCTTCATGGAGAGCGAGCCAG